TCCATTCAATACGTGCCCTCTTTAATACCCATCACCAGCCTAACCCATCCCCCCACCCCCCTCCCCTCTAGAACCCTCAGTTTGTTTCTCAGAGTCCATAGTCTCTCATGGGTAAAAAAAGAAAGAAGCAACATTCTTAACTAACCTCCATATTCTTTTCCACGAATCCCTCTCTGCTGATTTTATAAGCATATTTGCTTTGGGAATGTAGTCACCCTCTGTGGTATCCCAATGGAGTACAGTACCTTTTAGGAAAGCAGATTCTACCTCAAGATTTTCTCTCAGGTCTTACATATGTCCCTGCCACCCAGGAGTCATCCATCATCCTGTAATTTTCCGGTGACTGTGTCACAATGAAATAAGTGTAAAGCTAGAGAAGATGTGCTGGTCATAACTGTGACAGTGCCTCGTGAGTTAAACAAACCAACCTGCTACGTGGCTTTTTCCAACTCGACATCATTAACCCTTTGACTTTATCTGTTGAACCCTGACTTTCTGAAGACTGAGAGGGTCAAGGAACTCCCAGTAACTGAGAGCCCGTGACATTCATACATTCCAGGAATAGAGAAAACCAAAATCCCAGATCTCAAAATTATAATTTATTACTTTAGAATACACTTTTAGCACTGTATCAAGGGAAGAGATACATATTTATATGTTTCTATTGACCTCAAGGAATATAGCCCTTAAGTATTTTGCATTCAAAATAAACCCATGTTTTTAGAAAGTGCATTGTTTAGCTTGGAAATTGTTAACATCTTAACAGATGCCATGTTGGAATGGTCTTATGGAGCGTAGTCAGGCCTGTTAGTCATGGGGCTCCTTTGAGTGCCATGTTGATAATGGCTGTCTGTGTGCTTGTGTGTTTCCTATTCTCATAACCTGTGGACTAATCTCTCATGCGTTTTGTTTTAGGGTGACCCTGGATCATCTGCTGCAGGAATTAAGGTAACTATCACCTTGCGAGTGTTTGTACCCCAGGAGTTACAGTTTTGAATTTTATAAACCTCTACTTTCTCTTCTTTTGTACCAGTTTTGATGGTTATAACTGTTTTTATTCTTCTGCAATAATCAGCTCCCAAACTCAACAGAGAGTATCTGCTGGAAATCTGATAAAGGCTTAAATAAGAGGTCTTGCCTTCACTTTCTCTGCAGTTGGTTTTTATGGAAATGGGGATTTGTATGTGAGCTTTAGGTATGTTCACAGCAAAAAAAATTTCCTGTCTCTGGTGAGATATAGAATAAAGTGAATGAAATGCATGTGATCAAGAAGGCTAGGCCATCTCTGTGAAAGTGTCCAGAGGCCTAAAGGTTTTGGAAAATTCTTGTAAGATTGTTTTTATCATCTTTGGTTTTCTTTTGGCCAGGGGGAACCTGGAGAATCTGGTCGTCCAGGGCAAAAGGTAATACCTCTCTTCTAGTGTTCTTTGTACTGCCTTGTATTTGCCATTTTATACCTACTATCCACTGTGTGATATGAAAACCATGATTGGAAAATGATGTAGTTTTCATGCTTTGCATGCAGAGTGTTATTGATTGTTTTGCATTTTAAAAGGGTTGATGCTGACCATGGCAAAATAGGAAATGCCCTGTACATGTGAAAAAGATGCTTTATAAACTAAGGTCTGCATATACTTGGCTGTCTGAGGCTAACAAAGATCAGTCGGGTTGGAATGCCAACAACTTATCTTGCATGTTTAAAGTTACTCTGCATGTTTCTATCATTCATGAGAAGAAATGAATATTTACTAAACTGTTTCAGTTGGGAATGATAGCTTCTTATATTCCTTATATTCCTTTTTCTTTCATTTCAAATACTTCCCTACTGATAATTTTTTTGTGTGAATTGTATCTACCTCTGCAGTGATGTTATGTTATACAAACCAGATTTGTTAATAAACGAAGTTTTAATTGGAGACACTAGCCAAGCACTTTAACCAATCTGTGAATACATACATGGATTTCTTTTAATCATTTGTACTTCACTTCAGTGATAAATTAGAGGATATGCAGTGATAATGTTTAGATTCGTATTCTCATTTGAGTCTGAGGCAGGAAACAACTGTTAGCAGTTTATTGTCTGAGCATCTGGATATCAGTGCCCAGTGCTGTCAGATTTTAGGTGACGGATGTGTTGGAGCTAACGAGTAAATGTGAATTCCACATTAGGTTAAATCTCTTAAGATCATGACTCTCCCTTTATCCAGCAATAGCTGATTTTGTAGGAAAAAATATGATTAGAGACATAGAATTTATCTCATTAGTGTAAAGGAAAAGAAAGAATAAATCTCATTATAGGAGTTTGGAATCCTAAGGCCTGGTAAAATAATGTTCCCACACTCTTGAAGTCATTGGGAGGATGATTGCTTTGTTTTAAACACTTAGGATTAAAGTAATTTTTGAGCAGGTCTTTCATGTTCTTTTAAAATTCCTTTAATTTAAAAATAGAGTTTTCTTTTGAAACTCGGGCTGTAAGAGTAATGATTCATCACGCTCAGTTTCAGGCAAAGTTCAGACTTTTCCAAAGACCCCAGCAGAATTCTGCAAATTTTGCTACTTAATTCCTAAGATTTCCTATTGATTCTTTATGTAAGAAATTTGAAATCAGCGGTATCATCAGAGATCCATGGTCTGCTTTGGTTTGAAAAAGCAAATAATCTTCTCAGATGATCTAATTTTAGGCCCCTTCATCTTTAAAAATTAAAGGCTAAATTTAAACTGCTCTCAAAATATGTGATATACTAAAAGAAATATCTGCAGGACGATTATGCCTTTTTAACAAAACAAATCTGCTATGATTTTGCAGAGGTTCCACTTCTCAGAATGGAAGATCCAAAATGATTTTCAATTGCTTAATAAAATATTCCCTTATCATGATTATTTAGCAATACAGTTTAGATTCATTCCTGGAAGTTTATAGGTTTACATATGGAAACACTGGATTTCCTTTGTATTTCATTAAAAATCTGCTTTAGATTATATGGAGAGAAGGGGTGGATTCATTAAAAGCTCACAACCTATCTGAATGAGTACGTGCCCTGAAACGAACAGCATCTTTTTCATCAGTATTTAGGCCAGATTCTATCCTTTGACGCAATCTCACTTGCCCACAATATTTATGACTTCCTTTGTCTAATATCAGGATTTGGCAATACTTACCCCAACATTGCTTTAAAAGTAGAGTATTCCCATGCTTGCCGCTTACTTAAGATTAGAAAATGACAAGCAGAACTGAGTACAGAATCAATTCAAGAGATCTTCCATGGCATTTTCCTCATCATTGAAGAACTGTGTTGTGGATTCTATACTTAAGTTCCTGCGTGAGGGACATTCCAGAAATGTAGAGTATCGTGACAGAATGAAAAGCCCATTGATGAGCTTTCCACTCTCTGGTGTTGTCCAATAATGTAGAATGATTTCATCATCATTTTTTTTTTCTTTGATAGATTCAGCAGTAAAGTGTGTGATTGCTACATGAGTTGGAGTCTGTATTTATGTTTGTAAACTGAATGTGTAGATTTATAAAAATAGGTATTGTGTTTCATCACATAGTTCTTTCTAACTTCTCTGCATCTTTTTAAAATATATTTTTTAATTTTCATGGGGATAAAAATACTTGATCCCCCTCTGGAAGGGACCCTCCCAGTTGAAGTATATCTAAAAGTACTGGGGGCAAAAGCAGAATCCCAACTTTGACAGTGGACAAGGGTCTCCTTTAATGGAGGGTAAAGAGTCAAAGGGAAAGGAAAAGTATAATGTGTAAAGTTTAATCTACTTGGACAAGTATTCTTTGAATGGAAGAACAAACCCATTCTTAATTATAACCCAGATCTGACCTTGGGCCATGCATGCCCAAGGACTCAACCCAGAGAAGCTCCTGGGCCAAGAAATAAGCAAGAGTGGAGAAGTCAACAAAAACTGTGTCTCACTGGAAGACAAGCCTTCATGGTGTAAATACAGGGAATTGATATAGGAAGAAAAGTCTTCCTAAGAATGTTGAGATGTTCCACAAAGGGTAACATTAAATATTTTATAATCTTTCATTGCATTGACTACTACATTAAGTAAACATAAATTTGGAAAGTTCAAATTCCTTTCTGAAATAGTTTTCCTTTAAAAAGTCCATTTAATAATGTAATATAAATACATACCTACATACATACACATGTAATACAAGGAACAGCTAAATGCTAAAGTCTCTGTAAGTATTCAGCCTACATTGTAAAATATCCCATAATGTTTCATACATATTTCTCATTTTCTCATTTTCAGGAAACATGGGCGTGTGTCTGTGTATGCATGTGTATATAAATATCTTTTTTAAAGTAGTCATACAATCCTTTTAATATGGTGGGAGGGAAGTGTATGGTGAGAACTTCTGCAGGGAAACAGTGTTATGACCGCTGTATTTTCACACGTTTCAAACTCAGGATGCCCTGAGTTTCGGGGGCCTTTCCGAAAACAATACAAAACTATAGATTTGTCACCAATAGGTTTACTTTTATTTGTTGTGTATTCTACTGCAGTTTACTGTATATTCGAAGGCCTTGTACTTTTTTTTTTGTCTTTAATAGTATTACTTTCATATCATGAAGAGCCATAATTTGCTCTGGTATTATCATTACTTTTAAGTAAAAGAGAATCTTCAGTAAAATATGGATGCAGCCCTTCTACTGGATCTTCTTAAATTTATCAAATGAAGGGCAAAAGGGAAAGAAAAATCAAATAGAAGGTATAATGTTTCTTTGGGAAGTTTAATCCACTTGGACAAGTATTCTTTGAATGCAATCTCAAATTCTTAATGATCATTCTTTCTTCTCTGGCATAACCTCATCTTAGTCTTACTGTTCACTGTACAAAATTTGAGTTATATAGTTTCAAACAGCGTAGGTTTCCTTTTGCATTCCTGAAGTACCCGTGACCTAAACCATCAGGAAACTCATTGTTCCCTTTATATCTAACCATACAGCTTAATAAACAGTCTCTGGAGTCATTTTTTGATAATACCAGAGCAAATTATGGCTCTTCATGATATGAAAGTAATACTATTAAAGACAAGATATCTGATTGTAGGTTTTCCTTGGAATGAGGATTATTAAAGCATTTAGATGAAAAGAAGTGTCTCCCTTTACCACTTTTATTTAGTTTAATGCCCTAGTCTCTTTTAGTGTAGTTGTCTGTCCCACTGACTGACCATTTTGAAACAGTGTGTGCTTTTGACCCTCAAATGTTGTTTCCACAAATAATAGTCACCTCAGTCCAATATAGGATGGACTTTCATTTTCCCCGGCGATTCCTTTATGCTTCTTTAGTGGAATTCAGGAGATTTTCTAAGCAATGTAACCTCTTGTCACTATACTTTGTACTTAAAATAATGTAGACAATTCTGTGAAAATGAGATTTAGCTTGACTCCAGTGTGCTCACACAAAATGTACCACTTAATCTCAAACCTGTATTCAGAAACAGCTGCACGCATGGTACCATTAGCCCTAAATTGCTAAGCAGGGTTACCCAGACTCAACAATTGTCAGAAATACAGGCTGGAGTTAAGTATAATCTTAACCATGCATTTATCTTCTCATCATTCAGGAATGGAAAAGAAATCTTACTATACTTTTAAGTGAGCAAGACTTTTAATGTATATTGTTTTGATGTGACCATCTGTTCACACAGCCAACTCTTGATTATCTGAGGTAAGAGAGCCCGGGAATAGGATGCATTATTCAGATGCATACATAATCCTCATTTCAGCAAAGAGCTTCAGCTTCCGCAAGAAATCACTTACCAGGGAATAATAAAAAGTAGGAGTTCCTTTTCCTTTTACTTCTCTTGCTTGCCTTCTGGTCGAGTTGCTAATGAGCAGTGAGATGGCAGGAAGAGAGAAAACCCTGAAAAATCTGCAAAATGGTCAACCAATCCCTGAATCAAGAGTTGACTGAATTGTATAATCTCACCAAAGTTCTTAAAACTAGACAGTATTTATATATGTGTGTATATATATATGTATATGTATATATGTATATATATATGTATATATATACATATACATATATATATATAGCAAGTATTCAGTTAGGAACATTTGCCATGTTTTTCTCCAGATACTATGACTGAGTGACTATTGTTCTATAATGCTATGTGATTTTCCTATGTAGGGTGAACCAGGGCTTCCTGGGCTTCCTGGACTTCCGGGGATAAAGGTAAATACTGCACTGACAGTCTCAGCTTCATAGAACTGTAATTGTGAAAGTCACAGAAATCAAAGGAAAATAGGTAAAAATGAAAACTAAAAATATAATGCTACTCTTTAAATACTCTCCAACCATCTCAGTCAATTAAATTTTTTAAATCGAGGGGCGCCTGGGTGGCTCAGTCGGTTGGGCATCCGACTCTTGATCTCAGCTCAGGTCTTGATCTCAGGGTCATGGGTTTGAGGCCCGCATTGGCATTTTTAAATTGAAAACTAGGCACAGGTATTGCTGACGTTTGCCATTGCTATCTGGACTGTATATTCTACTATTAGAACCTACTATGCCACTTGAAAAAATATAAGTGCCACACAGGAATTCTTTAAAGTCTAGAATGTCCACTTTCACGTTTTAATTTTATTCTTAACATCCTGTCAGATTCCGACTGGAATCAGAGTCTTAACATCCCCATAAATCGAACCATTTAGGCAGCTGTTTTTGCAATTCATTCGTTGTAACAATCGCTCTAAAATATCTTCTGCTTCCACTTCCTGTCAGTAACTCTCACTGCAAAGGACAAATCAGATGACTATTCTGACCCATATACTATTTCCATAAACTTTGTGTGTATCTTTTGAAATAATTGCTTAAAGCTTAGTTTGAAAACATTGTTTTACATGTTTTAAAACCATCTAAAAATGTCAAGAAACATACTTTTTTTTTAATTGCTGAAAATTTTTCACATGGCAACTGACAAGGCTTAAAGTTCTACTGCCTTAGCAGTGTTGACTCCTTTAAAATCTGCTTTCTAAAGCTTAAAAGCTTTAAAGTGGTTTTTTTTTTAATTCTAGAACAGTTTGATAGAGTAACATAACGCCAGTATATTTTTCCTTACATTGTTCTCATAGATTTTGAATCAATCTTTAGTGTGCATTAGACCATTCTAAAATGAATAATCCTAGTTTCAGTGTGAGGGTTATGTATACTGTTAGATGAAGGTTGTGTTTGAAGTATGGTACATGAAATAATATGGCTTTAGAAATAAACATGTTAAATTATTGAGTTCCCCAGACATCGTATGGTATTATATACGTATATTATATATATGGTCATAAAATATATGACTTTATTTGGTATAAGTAACAGGCATGAAAACCGTGTTTTTCAGGCTGGCAGTCAGAAATTTCTGCTTTTTGTTTGATGTTTCCAGATTAGTATCATGGACATTCAGATATATCCTTTTAATATATTTTGTCTTTGGCTTCCACAGTGACAAAGTACACAGTATGACAAAGCATACTAAAGGGCCAAGTCTTTTCCTTATCACTTGATATTTAGCAAAATAATTAAATATGTGATTTCATATTGTAGAGTTAATTTATGGCAGTTCCTTAGTAATTCCCACACATTAAAAAAAGAGCCTTTTACAAATGATTGGGAGATCACAGATGTTTAAAACAAATTTAAGAAAATTATACTCAACATGAGTTAAAAAGAACACTGTTGCATTATAAATAAGGGGGAAGGCATTGGAAAGGAGGGACATTTGGGAAGGGCTGGGGGAGGGTTTCCTGCAGCACTTACTCCTAAGTTAGCAGGGCTGTGCTTCCAATGCACAGCTTAGTGTGCCAGGAACCTCAGCGCTTCATTGAAATGCGCTTGTCCCTTCTCCTGAGGATGAGGCACTGTCTTGGTGAGAAAGATTATGTAAGGTCACGGTGAAGGTGTTGGGGTTTTTCCCTCCGAAACAAACAAAACCCAATTTGAATTACTCTATTTGTTTTCATTACCTCTTATTCATTTTATGTCTCCCACCACGAAAAATATCCCATGGCCTTTCCCTAGTCATATGTGACCTTTTGAACTTTATGACCTATTTTGAACTTTTTCAAGTTGGGAAGAGTGTTGGTGATTTGTCACCTCCAGTAAACGCTTTTATTCCAAGGGTCCTAGGACATTGCCAGATGTATTTTGTCAAGGTCATATAGCTGATATTTTCCTTTGTTTTTTAAACCTTGACTGTGATTGTTGTGATAAGAAGCTAGCAATTGACAAAACCTTTTATCTTTCACTAGAGATCCTTTTCTGTGCAATTAGCAAGTGCTGTTGGGGAATTACCCAGTATTTGATTTAAATCACAGATTCTGTTTTTGGTTTAATTAGCTTTGTCTTCTCACTCTAGTTCAGGATATGAGCAATGTTCTTTAAAATGTAGTAGGTGCTCAGAATACAGAAGTCATCTTATGAAGGAGACTATTTCAGAACACAGTCATTAGCAGGCATTGGATATTTATAAATGTGGAGTTACAAGTTTATAACCTTACGATATAGCTTCATTAACTTGAGCTGTTCTTTATTCCTTCAATATACCTTGCTTCTACTCAGTTCCTAGCCACAGGATAGTTAATCGTGATTTCATAGTTTGAATGAGTAACAATATTTAAAAGATGAAACCACATGTATGGATTTAGAACGTGTGGTAGCAAGAACTTGTGTGATAGTTCATGCTTTGGAAATACTTCCTGTTGCTATTCATCCCCTTCTTATCTGCTGGTACTACAGAGAGCATGCAAATGCCATCCGTTATTTTACAAGACATTGAGGAAACCAGCCATGACATACCAGCGAAGCTTTGATTCACCACCTGTTGCTCTCAGGGAATGGTGGGGAACTTAATGAGCACCCAAATGCCTTCCACACAGCTCTTAGGAAATGAGCAAAGTGCCTAAATAAAGACAGCAGACTCATCTATCTATCACCTCAGAGTCCCACTCAGAGAAAAGTGCTGATACCTTGGGCATACATAAAAAAAGTCACCAAGAACAGGCATACCTTAATTTCAAACTACTCTTAAGCTTCCTGCACAAGTATTGGAAAGTTCTCTCACCATGTGGAAGACATTTGGAATTCCTGTTTCATGCATTCATGGTTCATATAGTGTCAAGATGTTCAGCTGGGAAAATTAAATTATGCACAATGTACCATGTAGACATTGATCTTCTGGAGTAAGATTTGAGCTCAGAAAATGATTTTTATAAACAAGCCTTCATATATGTTTTTCATGGGTAAAACTTACTGTAACTAGCTTTTCTGATATCACATAAAAGGGTAAGATCTGAAGTTCCTATTTAAAAAAACTTTTTCGGGGCACCTGGGTGGCTCAGTCATTGAGCGTCTGCCTTCGGCTCAGGTCATGATCCCGGGGTCCTGGGATCGAGCCCCGCATCGGGCTCCCTGCTCCGCGGGAAGCCTGCTTCTCCCTCTCC